CTTGTCTCTCACACAGTGAGCAGTGGAGACACACACCAGCTCTCTGACCCTGCACAGAAAAGTGGGTAAAGAAWATGAAWAGATGGAGGATTTATGACTGWACTTTTTTTCTTTAATCACTTTTGTGGATGCTCATTACAAATGGTAAAAACAATCCTAGATTTTCGTTAGTGTTAAAATGTAAATATTGGTTATGTTTTATAAGAACTTTTTATTTTATTTTAAATACATCCCCAACACAATGACAGAAAAAAATCTGAAAGCTTCAGTCTTTTGCTGGTCAAATCAAGAATCAAGAACTCTACTGATTTAAAATTAAATTGCTGACTCCAACTCAACTTTATAGAGAAAAATAAAAATAGTTTAGGGCTAAAGATAATCTTTGGTATAACGCACAGGTATACCTGGTTTTGTGCAATTTATGAAAAAGATGGCTTAGTTACAGTTTAGTGTTTGCAGTTAGTTTAATATCAACAAGTTTAATGTGCATCATTGTGTAAATKAAATTCCCTTAACTTTCCTTCAGGAAACATACACATCCTGGATGATGGTGGACTCCACACTAACTCGGGTGGGGAAAAATCTGAATGATGCCATGAGGATCCTGGAAGACAGGCAAAGGTAAGAGCTGAGTGTTTCAGACATTTTGATCATCAAGCTTGTTTTCTCTCTGAAATAGTTATTATTAGGGTGTTGGATATTAATCGTTTTATCATGTGAGTAATACCTGGTCAAATACTTCTGTTGCACAGGTATGCACAAAGGAAAAAATTGACAGAATCAGTTGAACTGTGTACCTTTTTGCATTTAGGGAGCTGGGTGCAGGAACAGAGAGGCAGCGTTTCAGTAGAATGAGCATCCCTGGACCCCTGCAGGGAGAGTAAGACACACACACACACACACACACACACACACACACACACACACACACACACACACGGTAATAGTCTATGTTGAGGTTTAGGCCCCATCCTCACAGAAATATTTTTAGGATGGCAACCAATTACTATTCACCTCTAAACTGCCGTTCACCAAAATGCGGCCCGAACCGTAAGACATACCCCCATAAGAGTTGCATCATAGCGACGGTCTGGAGAGGTGTGCAATTATTTATCTTTACAAATGGTGTTATCATGGTGACGCAGTAGGCCGACAAAGATCCCCATTGGAAATAAATGGAGAAGGCCCAAAGGCCTTCAAAACCTGAACGCTCTTTCAAATAGCTCATGAACCACTCCTTGGAACTGAATGAAACTCTTAGACAGTCGTCATTGGACAGTCCTCTGTCACTGTCCAACATTTTTGTCCAATTCGGATACAAAGTGGCTGTCCAAGCAACCCTAAGTGCATGACATCAGCACATTTTACATATTCTGAATGAATATAAAATGTGAAACAAAGTCTGAAAGTTCTTTAGAACAACTGATCCACTTTATTAAGAGTATTCAGGTCTTACAAATGAAACAAATAATAAACAAAAATGTCTGTTAGCAAAATATTTCATGAACCATTGCACCAACTCTGCCTAAATGCATACAAAATTACTTATAACAGTCATTTTGTGAAACCTACAGATAAAAATTGGGAAACAAAAAGCTGAAATCTTAATCAGATGCTGAATACATCTTTAAGAAGGCTGCCAAAACAAGTTTTAAACCCTTATAGCAACATAGGATTTGTTTTGCACAGATGGCAATCCTCTCATAGTTTCTCCAGGAATTATTCTGGTTTATTGTTTCTGCCTTGGGTTTACATGGAAACAGTGTTTTTAGAGCCCCACCTCTTGAAAGTTCCAGAGCCTTTTGTGTTTGCAACCTACACAAAATTTTGTATTTTAAATTATAATGTCATAGACCCACCTTTAAGTTAAACTACTACCCCAGGCACGACAGATGCATCACGGTAACAGTAATGACAGATTACATGCTTGAATTTGTGCTGCAGACTCCAGTTCCTTTGATGGAAAGCGAAATGTCTTCTGTGGAAGTTGCTTTATTTTTAAATGTTTAGAAGTTGCTGTGTCCTGACTGACTACAAATCTACACTAGCATACATCAAGTATACATTTTAAAATTAGGGAATAGACATTGGTGTATGAAGAATTTAGTCTGATAATCTTTGATTTTCCTAAGAAAAAAGCTTCGTCCTCTCTGGATACTGAGCTTAAAAATTTTTTTATAAAGTTTATTAATTTCTTTAAAAAAACAACACAAATTCTACATACAATAAAAA